TTCGGGAGAGCCTGTATTGAGAAACGTGGGCGTAATGAAAAAAAAAAAATTCTTATTTCTTCATGTCCCTCCAAGTTCTAGCTCACAAGTTACCAGTTGCATAGAGTTGCTAAATCTTTATACTTAGTCTTGTTCAACACCGATTTCTTTAAGGTCGCTACGCAGTAAAAGCTATGAAACAAATGGAGCCACAAGTAAAACGAGCGCTTCAGAATCTGCCCAAACCTGTAAGTCGTGGTGGTTTTTTTTAATCAGTAGCATCTTTCTATTTAAAAGTGTATTTGGTAGAATCACTACAGGCTATTATCTCTGTATAGTATTGCTGTAGTTTCTTACAGTAAACATAATTTTGTCAGAACAATCTCTGCGATTCTGGTGGTGGTTAACTAATAAAGATTTTGTTCTGGCAAATCTAGTACTCATTTAAATAACAATATGCTACTTCAGCTGAATTTCTTATTACAAGTGCAAAAGAAGCATTGCAGTATTCTTACAGACTAAAGTAATAATGAGTTGTTTTAACTGATAAAGTTAAAAATTTAACATTTTTTCAACTAACACGTTTTTCTCTTTCAGGCCTTCAATGGTTATTACAGAGGTGGATTTGAACCCAAAATGACTAAACGAGAAGCAGCTTTAATACTAGGAGTGAGGTAAAAGGAAATTTATTAGAATTGAAAGGTAAAAAGGAGGTTATGGTGTTACCCAGTTACTTACGTAATGCTCTGTGCTTAAGACTGTCCTGTGCCCAGCTTCCCCTGGGAATGTCAGTGCCAAGTTGGGAAAGTGGCTGTTCAGGATTTTCTGTACTCGCTAAGGATATTTTGCTACATATAAGCTTGCTTAAAGCTAACTCTACCTGGACTTGCACGCATGTCCAAATCCCAGGCCCACTGAAAAGCCACATGGACGTGCAGGTAGATAAACCCCCTTCAGGAAGCCCTGGGGTTTACTCGCTGTGGAGAACAAGGCTTTTTCTTCCCTTGTGGTTCCTGTCACTGCTGGTGAATTTCAGATCGATGCAACTTGAAGGTGCTACAAACCCACTGCTTGCATGTGGAGTAAATTCATTGCTTTATTCTAGAGTATCCTAGCTATAAATATGATATCTATCAGTGCCAAAAGCTTAGAGGCTTAAGACCAAATCTATCAAGCAAGATACAGAATAAGACCCATTTTTTTATTCCTGCTTGAAGGCAACTTTCAGCTGTAAAGTTTGTATACAGTTTGTTGTTTTGTTGGTTTTTTTTTAAATAAATTGAGAGCAAATTTTAGTTTATTCCTCCAGGCTTTACAAAGTTGTCTCAATTAAAATGTTACAACATAGTTCTGTTTCTTTTGAACTCTGTGAATGCCCCCCAGCACATCAGAATGCTGCAGCAGTCAGCATACGGTGTTTTGAAGAACCTTAGCCAGGACTTGAGCATAGCGCTAACAACGCTAAGGTCGCAGGTTCGATTCCCGTTCGGTCCCCATGTGTTGCCTGATCTAGTCGAGAGGTGGCATCCCCGGCGGCAGGGAGGCTGGATTAAAATGATCTCTAAGGTCCCTTCCAGCTTAGGCCATTCTATGATGATATGATTTACTTGCTGCACCTCAATAATGGAAGAGAAAAACATACACGTAAGCCAGAGAGCTTATGGATAAGACAGAGTGCTTGCTTGTTTGAAGGTGTCTTTTAAAGAGCTGGGGGATTTTATGAGGGTCCCTAAAGTCAGTTTTTCTCTCTCTTTAAAGCCCTACAGCTAACAGAAGTAAAATTAGAGAAGCTCATAGACGGATCATGCTTCTGAATCATCCAGATAAAGGTAAGTAAATTAAGTCACGTTGAGTACTTAATATGGGTTTTTAACACAGATCACGGGAACAGGGTAGGGAAGAAGTGACTGACGTACAACTACCTCAGCTACAAAAAAAAACCCCAGAAAACCAGTGAAAAGAAACGTTAGGGTGGCTTAATCCTTACCGTTTTGGAGTATACTTTTGTGTTGGAATGCTCTAAAGTAAGCAGACAGATTGCAGTCAGCTTAATACGTGCTGCATCTTTTGCGCATGTCAAATTAAAATAGTTTGTTAAAACCAACTTAAAAATCACCTTAATTTTAGATGAAAGCCCAGAGTATAATTTTTTGCTTTACATACAATGTGAGTTCATTGGAATGCATTGGGAATTCACCATAAGTGGCAGCTGCTGAGCCTTCTGCCTCTTCTGAAGGCACTAAACTATGAAATATTTGTCTCTGTGCTACTCTGAAGGTTCAGAATCTAGTTATGCTTGAAGTTAGTAACTTGAGGCACCTATACCTCTTCTAAATTCTGTTTATTTCTGTGAGTCAGAATCGTGTTAGTGCTTGGCAGTTAAAATTTTAATGCTCACTAGAAGATAAAACGGCTTCTTTTAAGTGACTCTTGAACTTCATTACTTACTTTTACAAAACAAAACCCAAAATAATCCTTGGGATATGCCTTTCATAGATAATATCTAGTGGAGGTTTACTTTAAAACTAACTTTTACCAAATAGTTGCAGAACTTATCCAGAGATTGCTAGGAGCATTTCACATGGTTTACATGACCTAAATAAGTTAAGGTTCAGGTAAACAGAGCAATTCTAGCAGTGGTAAAAGGTGTACGTGCTTCCAATAGACACTACTAATCTTTGCACCTTGCAGTCAGTACAGTTTCGGTGCATTTGCATTGTGGAGTCTGTTTCAGTATCTTCTCAAGTCATTTGAATGTCATGTTTAAAACCTGAACTAGTCCATTGGTGCAGCAGGGCTTCCTTTTCCCTTGAACTAGCGGGGAAGGGTTTAGCTGCCAATTTGCTTAACGCTTCTGTATCCACAAGCTTTCTGCCAAGCCATTAGTGACCAATTTGTTTATGACTGATAAAACCAGAGGGATAAACTAAAGGCAGCTTGACAGGAATTAGCTGTCTGCACACTGCAGAGACTGTCTGTATCAACTTACACGACTTCAGGCGTTTTAAGAAAGTACTTTTTGCATCTGATGTGACAAGAGGTTATCTTTTTTCTAGGTGGCTCTCCGTATGTAGCAGCCAAGATTAATGAAGCTAAAGATTTACTGGAAGACCAAGCTAAAAAATAAATGAAAGAGGAAATCAGAGGGTTTGTCCATGCAAATGATTATTTTTGATAAATGTCTTAAGAGAAGTTCTAACGTCAGTGCTTGACTTAACGTAAATGAAACTGAAAATACAAATCTAAGGAGGTACTTCCCTCTCCACTCAATACTCAGCTGTTTTCAGGAAACATGTGAGGGAGTGAGGCTTAAAGTTTTTTTTCATAGCTGTTCTTTATTAAGCAGCAAAATCTGCCACTTAGAAGTATTTTCAGTGTAAATGAGTAATAACTTGGTTTGGCCAATGCATGTTACCAGGTACTGGTAGGCTTGCTTGCTCTTACCAGCCGTGCTTAAGGTTCATGCTGCTCTTCTTTCATATGCCAAAGTTAACGTGATCAGCTGGTTTGGGGAGGGCTTGGAATCAAGAGGATTTATTTGATGGGAAGATTTGGGACAGATGTGTGGTTGTCTTTGACTGAAAAAATAAAAGTAAAGGAAACCACATACTCGGTTGTCTTTGCCTTGTGAAAAACAAGGTTGGCTGAGCTTCCCAGATGTTACTGATGGGTCTAGATGTCCCAGATACTTTAGTAACATTCACTTACAGATTCTGTAGCATTTAATTCCAGATTTGTAATGCGAGTACTGTAGTTTTTATACCTTATTTTGCACTACAAAGTTAGAATTCACATCATAAGGTTTGCGTTTATAGTAACTGGGAAACAGGAATGCTACGTAAACCACTGCTGACTCCCAAGGTGGGTGCATTGTGCTGCTGAAGCCTGATGCCCCCAGCCCCCTTAATTAGGGCCAAAGAACTGTGTCATATTCCCAAGAATCTCGGCAGTCCTCTGGAACCACGGTAAAAGTTAACTCCCAGCTCTTCATACCTACACCAGGGCTTTCAGAGTGCTGCTGGGAGGAGTCCTGCATCTTTTGCAACGTGTTACCGTCGACTGCTGTGTTGCTGCAGACCACTTACAGACCCTTTAGAAAGGATTTCCAGAACACCAATAAGGAAGAGTCCCGTGCCTTTAGAAGAGAGGATCAAATTAGTATCGAGTGTGAAATGGAAAATGTTTAGGACCTAGACAAGGGGGAGGCATTTAAAGTGAGGTGAAAAACGCAGCTGCACGTTGCCATGCAGCAGGGCCAGAGCAGGCACCTCTCAAGCCATATATAGAATGTAACTGTACTTCACTTTTTCCTGCCAAATACTACTACTTTTTAAACATAGGTCTTTTTTCTTCCCCGTTTTTTAAATTTTCTCTGTTCTTGCGACTGCTCAGAGATGGTTGTGCACGCTTTAGAGTGCTAACAATTTAACTGTTTGTTCTCCAGAAGGGAACAATGTCCACAGGTGTTAACACTGAAGTGGTAACAAAACTGCACACCCTCTTAAGTGAAATACATACCCACACCAAGCTGGTGCAACTCTGTAGATGTAGCTGGAGTCACAAATGGTTCAGAATATCTGCTTTTGTCCTTACTTCCAACAAGTCAGGTAAGGTGTTTTTTTGTCTCTTTCAAGTCAGCACAACTTCAGCACTACAAGTTCAGTCTGACTTCTTACAAGTCTCCTTGCTGCCCCAATGTTTTTCCACACCCACATTTTCTGCTTCATTTCTCACGTGCCAGAAAAGCTGGGTTAGTTGCCACACTTGTAAATTCTCAATCAAAAACTACATCTGCATTAATTCCTATATATGTTAGTCAGGTTACATCAATCTCCAGAAGAAGTCTGTTTTTAGACTTGTTAACTGATGTTTTACATCATCTCCTTAAGTAACAGATTAGTGTGTTAGAAAACTCTTATGAAAGAGTTAAAGGTCCAAGCTGCCTCACAAGTAAGTTCCAATTGTTACATAACAGCTTGGAAACCTTAAAAGTCAGTAGTAATTTAAATTTGATAGAAACAGTCAACAGATGGAAGATCAAAGTTTATTTTCTTTTACTACCAGCATACAAAAAAAACATATTGCACATCAAACAACCAAAACAAAAATAAAAATACTCTACTAAGGACTAACATATGTAGTTTATACAGAATAAACTTTCTGGAAATTGATCTTTTCAGTAGTTCAGGTTATGTCTTAATGGACATGACTAATTCAGCTTAGTGTTAACTAAAGCTATGTTTGATTTTTAAATACTGTACAGTTTAATAAATAAACCAAACAAAGCCTCAATGTAGAACAGTCACTGCCAATGTCACCCAGAATCCCTGCAGATTATGAGAATTTAACAAATGTATTCCAGTGGTCTGCAGATTTTTCCTCTACATACAGCATTTAAAAAACATGTATTAAAACAGACCAGTTTCCAGACTAAACTAATGGAGAAATTACATTTCAGTGCAAAATATTTTAGACTGCATTTCTTTCTAGTATTCCTCAGGTGAAGAAGTGGTTGCATATTATTAAAAATGTAACAAAAGCAGCTAATGCTTTCATAAAGAGTATTATGTTAGGGATCCCCCTCACATCTTTGCCATATTTTGAAAACAAAATAACATTTCCTATAGCCAGCAATTTTGTTTATTTAAATGTTACATATACTATCTCAAGGCACATCTGATGATATATTTATAACACAGTAGGTGTCAAAGTATGTTTAACATATGATTTCTTCAGGATCCCTCCCCTTTCTGTATTCCAAAATGGAGGAACTGAAAGTGCGGTGTCAAGACTGGCGATCCATATTCTATCTTTGGCAAGCTTATACAAGCACTATTTTAAATGTAATGTAAAAGAACTGTAAACTAGGAATTTCAGTTTATGAAACACCATTCAGCACTGCTTCTTCCTGATTATTTCCATCCTCCTGAACAGTAACTTTCTTTTCATCAGGACTGTGCTGTAGTTTAGAAGGCTCGTCCCCGGAAGTTGTAGCAGGACCATTCACTGCCTTTTCAGAAGGGCTGTTTTCATCAATCGCATCTTTTGCCTTGCAAGAACAAAACCAGGAGAGTATTACAAATTCTGTAAAAATATACGGAGCGTAAGCTACATTGCCCTCTTGCTCACACAGCAACTGTGCAGTAGGAAGCATGTCCTGTCTGTGCCAAGATCCCGTCATTTACAGCATCCTCAGACTTACCTTGTCCCGTGGGACACTTGTGAAGAAAGCACACCCAGCTAACCCAGAGGCAGCAACCCCCCAGCGCACCCAGAATGATTTAGTTCAGTTACCATTTGCCTAAGCCAAGGAAGAAGGTAACTGAACAACTGAGTTTTACACCCTGTTCCAAGTCTACAGCAACATTAGATTTTGTTCATCAGGGCAGTGGATCTTTCTTAATTTGCTCAACTCAGACATACCCTGCGGCAGTAAGTTCAATGTTACTCTAGAAGTAAAGGACTTTGTCTTTACTCTGAATATGATTTGTTATTATATGTAATGCCACTGTGATCCTTCAGGGAGAGCAATCGCAAATCTACCACCTTTGTAACATTAATTATTTCTAAAGCAGTTTGTACAAGTCACTAAATGTGCTGCCTCATATCCTCTATTTAGAAAGTCGTTTAAGTATTAGTTCAAGAATCATCCATGGCTAATACTCACATTTTATTATGTCATGCTACCTTAGTAAGTACAATACTTTACAAAAGGTAAAGCCTTAATTTGAGCTTTGCACTGGAAACTGCAATGAGAAGTCTATGAGTCAATGTCAGTTCATTTACACTGGGCCATTTCTGCTTTTAATGATTTAGTCTTAAACTCAAATACATTTCTAATCAAGTGAGAGCGATCTAAACGAAGCATTCCTTTGCTATTTTTGCTGCAAGGGAAGAGAAAAAAGAAAGCATAAAAAAAATTTTAAAAAAATAGTATCTTACCGTTTCTTTCTTGGTTTTGGCTAGTGTCTCCTTTGGAGGGTTTCTCTGTCTACTTTGAGATTCAGCTCGTGATATATAATCAGCTACTGTTACTGTTCAAGGAAAAAAATTACAGTGATGCTCACATCAGAAGTCTAATTAGGCATTAAACTTCATATGTCTTTCTGCACAAGTTACGCTATAACTGGGAGACATCTCACAAAAGGCCTTCACACTTACAGGTATCAACTACATGGCAAGGATCAATTTGTTTCTGCTGTTAAATAGAATTCTCACAAAAAGCAGTGGTAATGTGATGATCTGAAGGTGGGATCTTGAAGTTAATAAACCCGTAATTTTGGCCCAATTGTAAATCTCATTGGAAAATAAGGGCTTTCTCTACTGGCTTTGAAGGGGTCAAACTGCCAGCTCTTTAAAGCACAGACTGTCTGCCGCAAGTGGCGAAGAATTTCACTCTAATAAAATGAAGGTAAATTAAAATATGGAAAGAATCGGGGGGAGGTTCAGAGTATGGTACACTTACGAGAAAGCAGCATTCAAATCTCTGTTACTTCATGAAGCAACTGGCAAGAGAACTGGCCTCTCCTCCTGGCACTCAGAACGCAAATCCACCCCGGCAGCTCGGGCGCGTGGGCAAACTGGTGTGTGCACAGACACGGGGGGCGGCTCTGCGCAACGAGCCCCTACTCTGCAGCTGTTACAGCTACTCCTGGCGGATGCCGGCCGGGGGCTTCCCGACCTCTCTTCTTCTTGCCACCTCAGCACGTGCGCTTGTAGCCTCGTTTTGTCCTATCCTGCCCTCTTGTAACCACACCAGAGTCCATTCTAGCTTTAGAATATGATACTACAAACTGAAATATACATTTCTATCTTGGATGAGCTAAAGCACATTAGAGCTGGCGAGCGTTATCTGCTGAACGGTGCAGTCAATTATATTTAGTATGTCGTGCATTCAGGTGAACTGTTTTTCTGGACTTAGGAATGCCTGACTGTGCGTGAAACCTCGATCAGCCTAGGAAGTGCAGCACATGAATTTTCTGTTCAGTAACTGAACTTCTTACAGCTGGGTCCTTGCTTAATGGTCAAGACCAAGTGAGTTTCCATACAGGGAGAATTACTTCTTTAAAATGAGGTTCTGTACCCAGCTCTTCTACTGCAAAGATGAAGCGTGTTTTATCTGCTCAG